TGTGCAAATCAGTGCAACAAGATATTTCCTGGAAGTTGGCTGTAGTGAGGGACATGGGATGGGAAACATATGAGGCTTGTGTATTGCAGAGTTATTGAGTAATTGAATTAGGTAGAACGCAGGTGACAAGAAAGATATTTATTTGGGATAAACAAACTATTGGCTCTTGGTCAAAAAACATTGACTGGATTTATATGAGACATTTTTCAATAATGAAAAGCTCAGCAGTTGTTTGTTCAGAGATTCTTTGTCTGCTCAGACTAAAGAGCAGTGGGCTGATATATGGACCAAACCAAACATTTAGGATGATGAAAATAATATGGTACTGAGAGTTATGTTGTATGTGATTTATCTAAAGGGCAAAGAGCTTTGTGTTGCCAGTAAAATCTGGTGTTTTCGCCAGATTTCCTGGACAGATCGTCCGTCTGGAAGGAGAAAATCTGATTTTATTCAGTGTTGTGTTTAAATGAAAGGAAATGAGCTCCACTTTGTTTTCTGCTGTTCCTTTATACTCAGAAATGTGCAACACTTGTTTGTAGTTTGTAAATATGGATGATGCACAAAGCCTGAATCACTGTTCAGACATGAAACATTTAAATTAGACTGTAACTTGGAGAAAGCCTGGGAGCTGAGAAGAAAATCCTTTTAGATGTGGATATGTAGCGGTTCTTCTAGGAACAGCTCATTTGGATTTTTTTTCCACATCAATATTTTAATTGAAAGAATATAGTATAACTTATGTTGTAGTAACTTCCCTTTTGCTCTTTTGTTTTTTGCACATGTACAACTTGTAAAATAGAAGTGTCTGGCTCAGGTGGTAGAGCGGTTTGTCCACTGATCCTCCCAGGGCCTCCGCTCCATGTGTCCAAGGGTCCTTGGGCAAAACACTGAACCCCAAAGTTGCTCCCGCCTTGCATGGCACCTCTGCAGCCAACCATGAATGTGTATGTGTGTGTGTGTGTGTGAATGGCTGAATGTGACTTGTCCTGTAAAGTGCTTTGAGTGGTCGATAAGACTAAAGCTGTATATAAATGCAGTCCATTTACTATTTAATCCCACGTGGGATGGGTAAATTGTTTGGCATGACACGGGAATAAAACAAAAGCTAAAAACTAGCACAGCCTTTCAGGGTTTGAGAGTTGCTTATATCTCTAGGATTTTACTTTAATCTGCATCAGTGAACAAAGAGCAGAATATACTATGATATAATAATATGAGTCAAAAAGTAAATACGAAGTAGGATGTAACAGTCTTAAAGCTAAACTGAAATTTGAGTTTTCCTCACTTTTTGTTTAAGGCTGTACAAACTAAAATGCTACCACAGCTATTTTGTATATTTTCCACATTTAAAAAGAGGATTAACCTTTTTTAGGATGTTTGTGGAGCTTCCAACTTGAAGACCCCTAGGAGGCGTTTCCCAAGCACAGCTGTGTTCAGACTTTTAGTTTTAGTCAAATTTTATTTGTTTAATTTTTAAATTTTTTAGATATAGTCAACAAAAACTAAAGACATTTTAGTCTCATACTTGTCACGTATTTAAAATTTTTATGTCTTCTAAATATATTAAGGTAACAGTTACCATGGTGACAGGTGTCGTTCTCGTCTATCATGAGGCTGGTGGAAAAGCTACTGTTCACTTGTTCACACACGCAGTGCCAGTGTCCATCTGCCCTGCAGTAATACACCCTGACTCTCCTCAGTAAATCCAGGTATCATTTCCACACTCAGGCTGTTTGAACAGAGCCGCTGTTGAAATGCTCACTGTCAATACTCAGTACTCACTGTTCACTGTGTGGGATCAGCTTCACAGGCTAAAATGTCAGATAGCATAGTGCTATTTCCTGAGTGAACATCTAAGGTAAGATTTAGATGGTTGACTGCTGACATTCATCCTGGAACTTACTTATTCCTTCCTGTAATAAAATGAAAGATTGTTCATCTTTCACCTTATCATTTAGTTTTTCTTCCTTGATGAAATATATTCCGGTTTTCAAAGGTTATACTTTATGTATTTGTCTTATTTTTGCTGTGAATAAATATTTTTCATCATAGTTTTTATCGACGTAAACAGTGGATGACAAATGACTGGGCTGTCAGAACTGACAGCAATGAGTTGTCCTGTAACCTCAGCAATAAACATGTCAGCAGCGGCTAACATCGTTGGTCTGTTGATAAACTGCCTGTGTGCCCATTGGAATTTAAGTGATATGACAAACTATTTTTAGTGCCCGCCTACACAGATACTGCACCAATCAAATTACAGCTCATGTCCCCCACTCTCAAAGTCTCTTACAGTGAAACTTTAATTTCTTGTTTTTGGTAATTTAGTAAAAGGGAAATAAAAAAAACACCAAGGATCTATACACTAATTTCTGAATGATTAATTTCAGTTTCAACATGTGCAGCCTTAAACATCTTCACAGTTGTGTCTTGAAGTGTTGTGCTCTTCCCTGTGTATGGTCTGTATGTATGATCTGTCCCATGGAGCCCCAACAGAACCTTGAATAAAACAACAGAAACAAGGCTTTCGATTACAGATTTTACAGTTGAATATCTTGGCAGTGAAAGCTTTTGAGCATTCTAGCCAGGCTAATTTGATCCTGTTGTAATTTAATATGTCTCTTCTGCTCTTTTGTTCCCTGCTCACTCCCTCCATCCTTGTGCCAGTTTGTTTGTGTGTGTGTGTGTGTGTGTGTGTGTGTGTGTGTGTGTGTGTGTGTGTGTGTGTGTGTGTGTGTGTGTGTGCCTGTGTGTGTGTGTGCTTGTGTCCTTGGTATTGTGCCAACATGTGTGATTTAATGTCTCCTTTCTCATGTCAAATAAATCAAAAACTAAAATGTTTTAATGAGAATTTATGAGCTACCTCAATTAACTTGCTACAATTGTAGCAGGTTAATTTTAGTTATGTAATTGTAGCTAGCTTCAATGCAGCTAGCTACAACTGCATAACTACAATTAACTNCCACCCCCCACCTAGCCTGCTCTTTATCAGTGTCTGCTAGACATGTTTACCGCTGCTCTGCCAGGCCGCGGCCGTGGCCGAGCGCTGCTCCACCACACACACACACACACACACACACACACACACACACACACACACACACACAAACAAAACCCACCTGCTGGAACTGTGGCTGATACTGTAGATCAGCTTTATGGAGAAACACTGCCAAATTTAAGACGATATACAACACACACTGTCTATTACTCCCCAGACAGGAAGCTAACAGTTTTGTCCACCTTTTGCCAACGGTCTGCAATACATCCTGAAACGTTCCTGCTGCTGTTACGGTGGCTGTTAGAGCAAACAGCCGGAGCAGAACAGCATCCGGCTGACTGGGTATAAACTGTCTGATTATTCCTGTGGCTCAGGCCTGTCAAGCCAGTGTTTTACAGCAGCTAGTCGCAGCCAGGCAGCTGAAATGCTCAGAAACACTTAATAAGAATGCTGGTATAAATCATAAACCATGTCAGGAAAGTACTGGTTGCAATGCAGCTGCAACACCTGTTGTGTTTTTAGTATGAGGACTGCGGCTGTCACTTTTTTTTCTTATTTTTTATTCATAACTGGAAACACACTCACTCAACTGCCTTAACTACACACAGTTAAGTGTCACAAACACTTGGTCAGATGGTATTAAACAACTTCCAGGTAGACTGTTCTTTCACATCAAAGAACCACTGGTCCGAAGCATAGCAAAATGGATTTGAAAAGTCCCATTGTAAAGTTTTGGAGCCTGAGCAGCTCTGTTCTTCAGATGATGCCACAGATTATATTTGTTACCAAAATACCAGCAGAATCCAGTGCAAGTAATATTAGCATCAACGCTGTCCAACAAAACCCTGCAGCCGCAGCTCTGAGGTCAGTCCACCACTTTCAGACTGAAATATCTCAAAAACTACTGAGTACTAAACTTTGTACTGAGATTCATTGTCTCCAGAGAATGAATCCTAATGACCTTGGTGATCCCCTGATGTTTCAATGAGTGTCACCCTAAGGTTAAACTTAGGCTTTTGGTGAAATGTCTCCACAACTGTTGGATGCATTGATATCAAATTTGGTTCAAGGTGTCCAGAGGATAAATCCTAATTTATTTGTTTACCTCCTGACCTCTTCATCTGGCACTATCAGAAGCTCAACAAGTTATTTTTTTAGGGCATTTTTGCCTTTATTATTATAGTACAGTGAGAAAGAGACAGGAAAGTCAGGGAGGGAGAGAGAGAGAGAGAAGGGATGACACGCAGCAAAGCTCATGTGGTACGAGCTCTACCAGGTGAGCCACCGAGGCGCCCCCAGGTCAGCAGTTTTTAATTATCTAGTGAAGTATCTCCCCTTGTATTAGATGGAAGATCATGCGGATGGTGGTGTTCAGGCTTTAGACACTTTGGTATGTTAACGGCTGTTTGCGTTGTAGCCCCCCGACACACCCACCAAACGTATTTCAAAGGCTGTTGCAAGATGTTGCACACTTCTGGCAGGACATATCATTGATACAGAATATTGCAAGCAGGCGTGAAGGTGTGGGAAATGTAGGAAGTCGCTGTCATTTTTCTCAGTACGCTCTCTCTTTATCAGATGTAGGAACTGTTGGAGAAACTGGCTTGATTACAGTCAATTTTTCCGTTTTTAGTGGTATCTGAGCTCAACTCGAGAGAAATCCTCTTCAACAGCATGCGTGTGTGTGTGTCTGTGTGTGTGTGTGTGTGTGTGTGTGTGCAGCCATTACAGAAAAGCCTTTATAGTCACTCTTGGCTGTGATAATGGGCACCTGTCTGAGCCGTAATCACGGTAATTCTGCTCTCAGGTTTTGGTATAAACAAACATTTCTGCGATTCCACAGAGACAGTCATGTGCAGCCGGTAAAGCTGTGCAAATCACTGTGGCGTCGACACTTAATGGGCTCCACATGGACATCATCCAGCAGAGTCTTCTCACCAGAGCCGTCCCAACACACGAGCAATCTTTAAAATCTGTGTGTGTGTGTATGTGTGTGTTGCAGGTGTCTGGAATCGTGGGCAGGGCTGATGTCTTGGCCTGTTTGCTGTTCTTGCTGACGTTCCTCTCCTATATTAGGTAAGGTGACTCTGGACCACCCCCACAGCTTGTATACACACACACACACACACACACACACACACACACACACACACACACACACACGGCTACACATGTGTGAAATACATTAGTCTGCCTGAGGGACTGATGAGGATGAGTAAACAGCGTAAACATTTCACAAGCAGGACTTTAGCTGTTACAAAGAATGACCATACAAGGCTGTGTGCTAGTTAGCAGCATTTATCAACCTCCCACAATGTGTGGTGTTCATGTTCATGTTATTGGTTCATTCTAACTTAGAGTTTGTCAAAATGTGAAGTCAGATCTTATCAGTTTCATAGGTTTACAATAAGCTACAGTATGTTTCTTTAACATTGTACAGGCTCCCCTGTCACAACGGCTGTAATTGGGGCCCGGGCGCTGGCTGCTGCCAGTAATACAAAAGTGCCACATTTCACACAGTAAATAACACCTTACTCATTCGCACATTCTCCAGTGGTCACGAAAGTGCACCAGCAACCCCTAGATGTGCACGGCGGTGGGAGGGCCTGATCAACTAAGGTGTAATTTTCATAGTTTTGGCCTTCAGTCTAATCTTTAATTATAACATTGTACTCACCAATTTTGTTAATGAGATCTGGAAAAAATAATTTTGACAGGTGACAACACACGAGCGGTCAGCCGTTCAGACAGGGTGGAAACAAACTTATTTGGAAGAGTAATAATGAATTATTACCCAGCCGGTTCGTTATAAAGACCTGTCACAGATCAGTTTTGACCGACTGTACTTATCTCAGATGTGTGTATTGTTGCTGATTAAAATGACAAATATTACCGCTGGCGGGTTATATGTAAATACAACCGGCGGACATCGTGCTGAGATGTAAGATTAAGATATTTTCTCATAGACTGTGCGGCGGCAGACATGATGTATTACATGTTTTATGTTTCGCTATGTGGTGTTAAAAAACGCTCACCATCAGGCATTATGCTCCTGTACATCAGGTGTAGACCAGACCATCTTGTAAATGAAATGATGGTTGTCACACAAGGGTTACTTCCTGTTTTCAAGAGGTGTTGCTATGACTATGACTTAATATCATAATATAATATAATCATTGTGCAAATGTCTTCAGGTAGATAGGACGATGCATGTTTGCACATGTCTTTTATGGCGCAATAATGACAAACATTACATGATTATATGAAAATACAGCGTTAATTGAGAGCAACTTGATGACCAGGCCAACATTAAACTTGCCTGTTCATGTCATATCAGTTTCATTTTAGATTATAGATTAATTAATAGTTATGGATTAAGTTGATCATGAGAAATTAACCAAATTATCAGTACAGCTCTTATTTCATGTGTCTTATTTATTGAATATTTAGGTAGAAGTGTCATATACACAATATTAAAAGACTCTGATTAGGTCAAAATAACTTGATGGTGACATCAATATGGTGGATTAAACAAAAGCAGATCTGCGGTTGTCCTAGAAAAACACAGTATTCAAAAAGTATTCATTTGTGTTCAGATGATAGAAGAATATGTGTCGTCCTCTGTCATTATAAATGTCTTTGCTCTCCCTCCTCTCTGTCTCTCAGGAGTGTGGGTGTGTGCGTCTCCGAGGACTCTCTGCCCTCCACCGTCTCGGGGCGGTCTCTGTTCGCCAGTCTGTTGCTGGGCACCTGCGCCATGCTGGTGAAGGAGACGGGCATCACCGTGTTCGGGGTGTGCGCGCTCTACGACGCCCTGGTGCTCTGCCGCAAGCCTCTCATCTAGTAAGCGCACAGAGTTTGGCTTTGTTTATGCTTTGTTTGTGTTTTTTCTTATCTTGATTTATGTGGCGATGGTCCTCTGAGTGTGCACGCAGTTTTTCAGCAAAGCTCTGCTTCGTTCTCACACAGCTTAACTCGTTTGCACCTGGGAGCTGTCCACTGCAACCAGACAATTTGTTTTGGAGGCAGTTTTTTTTTTTTTTTTTTTTTCTTTTTTTCTGCAACTGTGTGCACAAACAGCTGGGATATGGAGGACTCTGTTTGTATCTTTAATGTATTTGTGGGTGTTTGTGTATTTGTATCCACGGGGAAACCAGATTTACCGCTCTGGTATTAGAGCATTTATGCCAAACGTCACCATTTTAAATCATTGGGCTAGTTGGAAATTTGGGTTTAGAGTAGGCAAAAGTAGGTGTTTAACCAGAAACATCTGGACACTTCAAAACTGATGTAATTTGAATTAATTAGACTTTTTTTTAATAGCTGGTGATGTATCATTCTTGGTTCGTGGTTCCCCTTATCTGAATGACTTGCAGTTGACTTGTGACCTGATTTCAAGGAACTGAGACTTGACTTGACTCTTGCTTTGATTCATTCTTGTGACTCGCCGAAAGACATTAAATTGAGTTGTAGATTTGATCAGTCAGACCTCAGTCACAAAAATCACTACAGACTTCAGTTTGAGACTCGAAAACAAACACATTCAACACATTCTCAAGTTTTGACCTCTTCAAGTCCTGGACAAATAACAAATCAAAACAGACCGATAATTGAAAACATCATATACGGGCCGAGACACTCAAAGGACGTGGCCTCAGCTTTGTGAAAACACTCTATTAATGCAGTTTTCAAAAGGAAAATGTTTTTACTTCCAAGTTACTCTTTACTACTTTGCCCAGTCACATACATGCAAACACGTGTTTGGGCTCAGGGTTAACCCACTGGGAAATCAGCAAGTGTTTGAGGGCTCTCTGGTTCTCATTCTTCTCATGAGTGCACACGCTTTCACTGCACTGTAATGCAATGCTTCTACCCAACATGATAGTGATAATAAACCCCTTAATTTGAAGTCCACGATTCGGCAGACTATGCTCAAGAAAAGACACCACAATGCATAAAACAGAAGAATTCCAGGAATGTTTCACTGCCTATCATGTTATCTATGACTTCTCTGGAAAGTTTTCTTTAGTGTCTCCCAAGTATAAGTAATTCAGTATTTGCTTATCTGCCTGCTGGTGTTAACAGTGTGTTAGAGTAGCCTCTGGAAACATAAAAACTATGAGGATTACCTCCCTCGTTCATCGAGGCAGGTCTGGATCTCAACCTGGACACAACAGAGATCAGAAAGTATCGAGGGGGTGGGGGTGTTTCCTCCATGGGTAGATATTGAATGCAGTCCATTGACCATCCTTCCTGTGTGTGGTTGTGTGGCTTCACACAGATGCCATTATCCATGTCCCACTTTTTACCAGCACACCGTGCTGCTGCTGCTGCTGCTGCTGTTTCTCCGTCCCCTGCTCTGCCCTTTTTAAAAGAGGCCTGCAGTGATAATGGAGGACAGATGCCTGGAGAGCAGTGAGCTTCAGATAACAAACACTCCATTTCAGCAGAGGCCAACTGCACTTGCTCCTCTTATTTTAATGGACCATACCAGTGTTTTGTGTGTTTTAGCCCATTAACTACAAATCGCATACATTTTACACTACTGCCGACGATTTTCCAAAGCACACCATCGGATTTTAGAGTGATCTCTCCTTTAGTTTCAGTTCATTTCAGTACATCCAGAAAATCGACCCGTGGAGACTTTGCTTTCGCTGCAGATAGACACTCCATCACAGAGAACATCCAGTCAGTTTTTTTTTTTCTTCCTGGTTTTTGTCAAAGTTGCAGCTTCCACAACTGCAGGGATTTCTGCAATCTGTTCAGTGTACGTTCAAGTGTAATCACAGACCTTCATCAGGGACATGCAGGGAGGCAAACGCAATGAAGGAACACTGAGATACTGTATATACACATTCCGGTAATTAACTCCATGTGAAACATTGCTGTATCCTTGACTCAAGACCTTGAAGACACCAGCAGCTTATGAGATGCATTAGAGTGTTTTTTTTTTATGTAAGCCTGCTCACAGGTGGTGTCAGGATACACCACTGTTGTGTTTCCAAGCAATGATGCTCATCACGTCTTCAAAAAAAGCACAAATTTGGATAGGCTCACCCCGGCTACTTAACCTTAAAGGTCCCATGTTTGACACTTTTGAAGTGTTGATCCATAAGAAGATATATTTGTGCTTTTAAGACCCAAAAATGATCTCAGTGTAGTTTTACATCTCCTCTCTCAGGCTTCTCTCTGGGGGTCTAGTAACAACAGGTCGGTGAGCCAATCAGAAGAGAGGAGGCTCTGAGCCTCTCTGCATGGTTTTAAGGCTCAGTTTCTGAATACAGGCTGTGTGCATTTCTCTGTGGACTGAGGCTTTGATACTTTCACAGTATTAATATAGAACCTAGACCTGCTTTATAATCAAACAACACATGGACATCTGCCTTTACACTATATGGCACCTTTAACTAGGTGTGTATAATGTGTATAGGCATTTACATGCTTCGCATCACAGGTATCAAATGAGGTGTTGCTCTGCAGTGTGGCAAAGGTGTGTTTCCCTTTAAAGTGCAAATTGTATTTTCTGCATCCGCATAGCCGCAGGAGTTATTGTGATGTGAGTTTCACCATCTTCCGAGTATGTGCAGCCAAACATATATGTATGCAGACACTCAGTGCATTATAAACAGAGCTGTGTGTGTGTCTGCTGTTTGTGTCTCTGCCCTTTTTATCCATGCTAGCAGCGTGGCACTATGGATGCCGGCAGGTCAATCCACCACTGTGGTTCAAACTGAAATATCTCAACCGCTGTTGGACACTCGTACTAACACCGGTGATTCCCTTGACTTTTCCTCAAGGATGATTTGTAGTAACTTCTCTGACTCTTCATCTAGAGTCATCATCATGTAAAAAAAATCTTTTTATTTGATGTGTGTGTACCATTCTATACCTTCCCTGAAAATCTGACTTTCATAACTTTTACAGTGTGGGCTGCAGTCCAACTTTTACCACCAGAAGAATAAAAATGATTTAAATCTGAGCAATTAAATTAGGGCCTCCGCTGGTACAGGGAGCCACGCTGCTTTGCATGCATGGCCCCCAGCCCTCTGGAGCTTGGACCCCTAATTAACTGACAAAACCTAAAGGCAAGTAAATGTTCATTGTGACAGAGTATCTATCTGCAGCAAGTTTCAAGTCTCTGCAAGTTGATTTTAATGCAAGCTGACATTTTGGAAACCTGCAAGGGAGGGAACATACAGTGATCAATCTAAAGAGAGGTATGCTTTTGAAAATGGTCAGAAGTGACGTAGTTATACATTTATATAAATGAGAAAAAAACAGCAGTGTGTGTTTTTAATGCAGTGTTCACAGTCTAAATGAGAAAAGGGAGGAGGGAGGGACGAGCTGCAATTCCCAGCCAAAACTAAAAGCTGTGCTTTGGCTTTCTAAGAGAGTGTATGTTTTACAGCGCATGTGTTTCTCCACATTTGCATAAGTGCCTGTGTGTGTGTGTGTGTGTGTGTGTGTGTGTGCGTGTGTGCCTGTGTGTGTGAGTGTGTGTGTGTGTGTGTGTGCGTGCGTGCGTGCGTGTATGCGTGTGTGTGTGTGTGTGTGTGCGTGCATGCGTGCGTGTGCGCCTTTCTGTGTAAATCTGGCCATACCAAAGCCAGTTCCAGATGTTTTGGGAGCCTCCCTGCTGTGTAACCCGGTCTGGAATGTTCTGGAATTAGCCTGCTGTCACTGGGCTGGTTGAGCTGATAACACACTGAAAAACACTATGTGCAAAGGGAGGTGTGTGTGTGTGTGTGTCTGTGTGTGTTGAGTTTAATATGTGTTATAGTTTATTTTAGGCAAGTTAACCCGGGGCATCTGTCTCTTAGAAGTGTGGCAAATAGCTGTAGGGCTGTTCAGAGAATGTGTGTGAGTGGGTGTGGATGTGTGTGTTCGACTGTGTGTCTCCCTGCAGGCATGTTTGATTCACTGATTGCCTTTTTTTTCTTCAGTGACTGATGCCATTAATTCACATATCAAACACAGAGTATTTACAGGACTCTCATTACTTATCAGTTACTGTGGAGTGTTTAAAGGAGTTCAGCATGGTCTGTTTCTATTCCAGGAAGTTTTTTTTTTTTTTTTTTTTACAGGAAAACTTTTGAGGTGCAGATTTGTAAATCAGGAAGTGCAGGGTGTTGTTGCGGTGGGTTGGGCCAGAGAAAATGTCATGAAACCGATTTAAATATCCACAGTGCCTGGAGCAAACTGGTCTATTGAAACAAAACTGTTATTACAAACAAAGCATTACTCATTTACTTTTAATAATCAGAGTTTTCACAATAAATCCTTAAATCAGATTTGTAATGCATCCAAAACAAGCAAATCACTTCCTGTTCCTGTTCTTGCAGGATCTGGCAATAATTAAGCTCTGGTTGTCCTTTCCGATGACCCAGGAACAGGAGCCTGCTGTGAACTTTGCTCTCTGCTGCAACTTGAAAACAGAGAAAGGATTATTAACGTTACGATTATTTGCTGTTTGCTTCAGTAGAAATCAGTGGAAAACACTCAGCACATCACGATGCATTGGAATACAATGAACTTTAATTCCCAAGTCAACATATTGTTTATTGTAGAAACAAGCGCTCTCAAATTTTCTTTACCACACCTGTATATCTATTTTACATCCATTTATTAATTCTGGTCAGCCTTGAGAGTTGTGTAACAGTAAATACTTACGTTTTTATCTATGTGTTGTTATGTCTGTGTATAACTTATGTGTCGTAGTAGGTAAAGATAACTGGTTATGGGTAGGGATGAGGTTAGGTTCAGGTTAAGGTGAAGGGAAACGCACATCGACAGGGAAACAGACTTGACAAGAAAAGAATACCACGAGGCAAAGACCCAGACGC